AAAATAAACTTTTTAATAAAAAAATAAAAAAAATAAAGCTCCCCATTTCCTCCCACCTGCAGCCCCTAGCAACTATCATTTTACTTCTGTGAACTACCATTCTATGAAGTTGACCATTCTAGGTACCTCATATAATTGGAATCATGTAATATTTGCTTTTGAGATAGGCTTATTTCAAAAGCAAATATAGCTTAACATAGTAGTAGCCTCAGGGTTCGTCTATATTATAGCATATGCTAGAATAACTTTCCTTTTTAAAGGCTGAGTAATATTCCATTGTATGACTATACCAATATATATATATATATGAGGACACTCAAAGCATAGACAATAAGGAGTAAAAACAGATAAACTGGACTATATCAAAATGAAAAGCTTCTGTGCCCCTGAGGAAGCACTGTTTATCCACTGTCTCTTGATAGACGTTGGGGTTGCTTTCACCTCTTGGCTATTGTGAATTGCGCTGCAGTGAACATAATGTATATCAGGATTCCAATCTCTGCTTTCACTTCTTTTGAATCTATACCCAAAAGTCAAATTACTGGGTCAAATAGTAATTCTATTTTTAAATTTTTGAGGGATCACTGTACCTCTTTCTGTAGCTACTATACCATTTTACATTCCCATCAGTAATGCACAAAGGTTCAAATTTTTCCACATCCTTGCCAACAGGTACTATTTTTTGTTCTTTGTTCCCCCTTGAATAGTAATCATTCTAGTGGATATGAGGTAATACCTCACTGTACTCTTGCTTTGTATTTCCCTAATGATTAGTGAGGTAGTCATTGCATTATTTGATTGAACATATGAGCTTTTTCATATGCTTGTTGACAGTTTTATATCATTGGAAAAATGTTCAAAGCCTTTGAACATTTTTTTTTAATATTTTATTTATTCATACAGAACTGGGGTACAGGCCAGAGATGTGGAAGGTGAGAGGATTCACCAGAGACAGAGCAGGGAGCATAGCAGGCAGATCTACAAAGTACACTGCTGAGGGGAGCAGCAGGCGGGTCAGGAGAGGTCTGCCGCACCATGTGGATCTCCTCCGGGGTAGGCGGGAATCGAACTCATGCAGAAGTGGCTTAAGCTTCTTAGTGCTGTGCTTTAACCCGTTGTGCCACCAGGGAGAGCCTGAACATTTTTTAATTGGGTTATTTTTGTTGATTTCTTAACATATAGCCTGTATATTAACTCTCTGTCAGATACATGTTTTACAAATATATTCTCCTATTCTTTTTATTCTGGATTGTCCTCAGGGGCACAGAAGCTTTTCATTTTGATATAGTCCGGTTTATCTGTCTTTACTCCTTATTGTCTATGCTTTGAGTGTCCTCATATATATATTTAATAATAGCTTTATTGAGATATAATTCCCAGGTCTTAAAATGTTCCCTTTGAAAATGTGCAGTTCTGTGCTTTTAGTATATTCACAGAATTGGGCAGCCACCACCAGTCTCATTTTAGAATACATTTTCACGCCAAAGAAACCCCATACACCTTAGTTGTTACTCCGCCTCCCCCACCCCCCAGCTCTAAGCAACTGCTAATACACTTTCTGTCGCTATAGGTTTGCTTATTCTAGAGTTTTCAGGTGTATTCTTTAAATAAACATTAGTCTATAGGTTTTTTTCTATACATACCAACATATCACACTTTCGAAGTTGAATTTAAATGAATATTTTACTTCCTGCCATATCTTTTCTTATGTTGTTAGATGAATTTAGGGACTCTTTAATATGTTTTTAGTTGTGCCAGTGTGATTTGTGCCTGTTTGGAGACCATGTTCAGATGACTCCTCCACCCTTAAGGAATATATTGTTCACTATTGAGTAGGCCTCCATCAATAAAGTCTGGAGAGCAGTAGGGTAACTTGTATCCAATTTTTGCCTTTTTTTAATAACAAGTATGGTATTTTTTTCTAAACAGGTCAGGAATATCCTGCTATAGTAGAATTTGCACCTTTTCAAAAAGCTGCAAAAAAGAAGACTAAGAAAAGAGATACCAAAGTTGGGACTATCGATGATGGTACAGTATAGCTCTAGTTGTGTAATGTTACTGCCATGGGATTTTAAGAAACATTACCTTTGTGAGAATTAATGGGACTCCAATCTCTTACATAAAAAACATATGGAAGAAATGTGATTCTGACAGAAGCTTTGTTTAATTGTTAAACTGGGAATGGGTTTCCTGCAGTTTCTCCTCTGGCCAGCGCATTTCATTCCCTCCATCACTAAGCAATATATTTTTGTCTCTTGAATAGTAAATCACATTAGGCTTCTTGATTAGAATACAATGGGAAAAAGTCATATTTCAAAGTACAACTCCTTGAAGCCTGTTAACCATTTTTATAGTTATTTGACTTCTGGTTTCCATTTTCATAAAGAGGAATGTTTACCATTGAGAGCTGTAGTGGACAATTTTTACACTTGAGTAATTTAATGTAAAGTAGCTAAAATGGCCAATCCTGTTTTGTAGGATTTGAATATGCAATTAACTACACAAATTATAATTACATTAATTCAAACATAGGAATTGAAAAACTGGAATAATTGACATTTCAGATAAACTGGATCCAGATTTTGAAATTTCTGTAGGGTTGTTATATTGAGTAACCATTGCATTAATTTTTTTTTTTAGTGTAGTTTTACATCATTTTGTGCCTTTTTCCATCTCGGTTGTATTAACTCTTATGTTAGATAAGGACTCAGCTGCAATGTTGTTTTTTTTTTAACAGTATAATAGTTCATTTTTACATCATTTTGTGCCTTTTTCCATCTCATTTGTAATCCCCAAGTGCTTCCTATCATCAAATCACCCATATGCCATCATCACAGTCCACTGCACTCCCCCCACATTTTTGATCCCATTCTCCACTCCACCCCCGTAAAATGTCTCTGGTATATAGTTGTTCATTATTATTATTATTTTTTCTCCCCCAGTCCTTTATACTCCTGCTGTGAGTGAAACAATCTGGTATTTTTCCTTGTCTTTCTGGCTTATTTCACTGAGCATGATCCCTTCCATCTCCATCCATGTTGCTGCAAAAGACAAGTGCTGAGTAATATTCCATTGTGTATATGTACCACATCTTTTTAATCCAGTCATCTACTTTTGGGCATTTGGGATGATTCCGTGTCCTTCCTATTGTAAATAAAGCAGCAATAAACATGGGGGTGAGCTGTAGTGTTTTTTGAGAGGTGGATATTTTAGAGTCATTTAGTTTGAGTTCCATTTTTTGTTACTATCACTGGTTGTTTTATAAAGAAAACACAGAGAAGACTGAAGAACATACAGCTTCTTATTATAGATTCAGACCTGGAAGGCTAGATCAAATGCCATATTCAACAGTGTGTAGAAACATCAAATATAAGCAGTGCAATGACTCAGGTGTATTACACTTCCTAGTGATGGAAGCATATGGGAAAGAACTCCAAGAATTGTCATCACAATTAATTAGAGTCCCATTAATGCTACATCTAAAAATTCCCCCTAATGTATCTTTTTGGAACACCTGATTTTTGTTTGTTGAAGTGTACTTAAAGTAAGGTACAGCCATATCGGAATTGCTTACATGTTATACATAATACTATCCAAAATTTCTTAACTTAGAGTTATTTCAGTTCTCCCATATGTGTGAGTATAGATTAGTAGGAGTATTGACTTTTAAATGCAAGCTACAGAACATTCCTAGGGATTCTGTTATAATGTGCAGTGTCTCATTTCCCCTGGCCCTCTATTCCACCAACTCCCCCTGTGGGTATCTCGAATAGGCATTCTGAGAGTAAGTGGCCAAAGAAGCCCTACATAGCCTATCTTGTGAGCATGGTTTGATTTTTTTTCTATCTTCCATGAAGTAGGAAGTTATTTTATTTGATCGGTACCTTAGATAATATTTCCTACTTTGTTTAAAGTTTGCTGTATTCTCTGTTTAATTAAACAACTCCTTAGATCCAGAATATAGAAAATTTTTGGAAAGTTATGCTGCAGATAATGAGAAAATGACATCTACTCCAGAGACACTGCTGGAGGAAATAGAAGCAAAAAATAGAGAATTAATAGGTAAGTAGGCCAAAGGGAATTATGGGCAATCGTTTTCTTATCTGTCTGACTCCCATTTCTGTCACTTGCTGTGTGATCCTGGGGATGACACTAACCGAGACTGTTTCTTCTACTGTAAAATGTGGATGATATGCCTGCTTTACAAGATTATGAAAATGCACTGATGAGATGGGAAAAATTCTTGGTACCCTGTTTAGTGCCACACAAATGTAACATAAGTATATAAAGTTTGAAGACTGATAGGGGACCTCTAGATGTTGGTAAGCCTTTAAAGATCATTTGGTGTTTTCCAGTAATAAGCTCCTATTACTAAAAAACCTTAGATATGAAAAATAGCCAAAAACTAAAATACATAATTGAAAACCTCTTAAGAAATTCTAACTTGGTTCTAGTAAATTGTCACTACTGTGTCAGTAGCTCTAGATACAAGCCATAGTCTTTGACCCCATAGTCAAAAAAGGTATGTATTCAAAAGGAGAGCTACAAGGCTACGTAGCATTGTTTCAAAAATACTGAAAAATGAATGAAATGTTTTTCTAAAACTTTGTTTTTGTTACTGTATGCATAGTATAAGCCTTTCTCTGATAATTTCCTTAGAATAAGTTCCCAGAATTGAAACTATGGGGTCTAAAGGATTAGATATATTTACTCCCTTCCCTCAATTACTTCCCAGTTAAACAAATGTATAGTTCTTTCTGTAAAACAGGAGAATATCCTTTGCACTTAATTTGACATTGGGAATTACGCTTTAAAATTGTTTTATTGTTTTCATTTGAATCTCTTAAAAACTATGTTCAGCCTGCAGAATTGAAATGGGAATACTGTAAAACTTCTTTTTCACAATATAGTCATGAACTTTCTGTTTAATGGGTAGAGCTTTTCCACCTTGGGTGGTTGGCAGGGAATGTCAGAAAATGGAATCCTTTCTCTAGGGGTTGATAAGTATTATTAATAATCTGTTTACATTTATGTAGCTAAAAAGACAACCCCACTTTTGAGCTTCCTGAAAAACAAGCAGGTAAACCTTTTGATTTTTATAGTTCTCTCAATATTTTTTATTTTTTGGTTCACATTCTGTAAATATTTAAAGAGCATTGGGATTATGCGCCCTTCGATAGCTTAGCTGCTAGAGCGGAGGACTGTAGACTGGACTTGTGTAAAGAGCATTGGGATCTTACAAGAGAATAGCTGGTTTTTCTACCCTTGTTCTTTATCAAGGCTGGCTCATTGGCCTCACCTGTTGTGCCAAGGACTCACTGTGCGAACCCAGAGAGTCCTTAACTTGTTCCAAAGATGTTCTCTTAACTTTCTGGAATTCTCTGGAAGTACAGCAAGGCAGCAGTAGGAGAGTGCTATCATTCTGTCGTATTCTGGATAGGGTGGGGTGGGAGTCAAGAAAGTAAAATACCTGTTTATAGAAAGTAGGGGGGAAAGATAATTCAGATGAGTGGGTACCCACTGTGCCTTTGAGTTTGATTGTTTGGTGATTATCTTGTTTGAAAACGTCTATTGATGTTTCTTTCTAGAGAATGAGAGAAGAAAAAAGAGAGGAAAGACGGAGGCGAGAAATAGAAAGAAAAAGGCAAAGAGAAGAAGAAAGGAGAAAATGGAAAGAAGAAGAAAAACGAAAAAGAAAAGATATAGAAAAGCTAAAGAAGATAGACAGAATTCCAGAAAAGGACAAATTAAAGGATGAACCAAAGATTAAGGTATTAACAGAACTTAAATGGAAAAGTGCATGTATCTGCTTTAAATGTGCATGCATCTTGTGTTGGTGTAAAAGAACTTTTGTCTTTCGGGGGGGGGGGGACGAAGGGGAGGAAACCAGTAGAACTCTTTCCTTGTAATAGTATTTTTTAAATTTAAGATAATTTAAAAAGATTTTATAGTTTATATAATTTCTTCAGTGCAGATTTTATGTGTTATTTTTAACATTGAAATGTTCAATTTTTAGATTACTCTTCTCTCAGTTCTTCATAAATGAGGGCTTAGAGCTGGCTGGCATGAATTACGGGTTATATTCAGCTTTTTCTTCATATTTGATACATGAAGTTGCCTCATCTGTTTGTTTTCCACTGTCTTCAGGTACACAGGTTTCTGTTACAAGCTGTGAATCAGAAAAATGTAAGGACCAAGTACATGATACAGAGCACCTAGTATCATGTCACACACACAGGTCTTAGTTAATAAGTCCTTCTGGTGGCGGTGATAGTTACCTGTAGAAATTCCTTCAGACTGACTGAAGTCTTAAAAGCTGAGCCATTTAAAATCCCTGCTTTCAAAGGAAGCCCAGATGACTTTCTGGTACTCTGCTGTGTACCAGAAGTTTCAACAATATACAGCCAGAGGACAACCTGCATAATAGCTTTCCCATCTCTTTGTATGCTTCCGTAACTGCCTGCCTTATGTAGGAGTAGGAGGGATAAATATCCGTTATGTGCTTTCCCACTAACAGTTCCCACATTATTGTGCATCTGGCTGAGAGGCTGTGAGCTGCAGATTGTGATTAACGCATTGTATGTAGGAAGAAGGAAAACCCATGGAAAGATCCCAGCCTTTCTGCTTCCCTTCTGAGGGTGCGGCTTGAGGAGTCCTTGCTGTGATGAGCTTCCTGGGGAAATTCAAAGAAAGAAAATCTCCCAGAGATGGTGGCAAGATCTCCTTTTACTTCCTCAAAGTTCAGCAGTTTATGTGGCCAGCGTTCCCCACAGCTTTGCTGGCTGATTATTGGTGATAGGGCGCTTGGCAGCCAGTGGGGAAGTTCCCATCTTAATTCCTTGTAGCAGTCTCTCTGTCTGCCGTGCCACCAGTGCGAGTGGCCTGCTTTGCTATTACTGTCAGCAAGGTAGAAGGTAGCGCCAGCCCTATTAGAGACATGCATTAATGTTCTTATCTGAGTAATGGATGTCTTTGGCTTCTAACAAAGATGTTCATTAGAGAAATAAGAACACTTCCAATGAAACCTGCACATGGTGTCCTCACTTTACACTGTGCCTCGTTAGTGTCCAGTTTGGACTTGCCATTTGCAGTGGCTGTATGTGCTGAAATACTTCACGCTTAAGTCCCGTGGTGCTTTGCCTTTTGCTTGATTACTTGTATGATGCCTCTACCCTGAGACGAAACTTTGTATGATGCCTTCACTGTAAGACTCAAAATTCTCTATTTTAAAACTCTGAATATCCAGCAGCTTGGGAGGGAGAATACGGGGCAGGGGAGGGTGTTGTATTCTAGAGAGATAAGTACCAGTGATGTGAGAAAATAATCATTATTAGAATTTGAGTTTAGAAGCACTTGTATCTTAGAAATGCATGCCGTCACATGTGTGTGTGTGTGTGTATAGATATATAAATATATATGATGTTGAGCACATATATATGTGTATATGCATATATATATGATGTTGAGCACAGAGCTCCTACTTAGTGAAAATGGAAGTTCACTGTTCCATTTTATAAGGTATTTGAAGTTTTAAATCAAATGTCAATTATTGCTGTTCATCTCTATAATATGATTGTATCATCATAAGCATGTTACTCTCAGGCTCAAGGCAAATCATTCTCGCAATGGATCTCTCCTTTGGTGACCAAGGTATTTGTCGTTCCAGTGAACTACATAAAAGCAATCCAACAGTGGCAGTCCACCTAGCATGTTAAATGTGTGACATATTTTCACATCAAGTCATATTGACATCTGGTTTGCTACAGACGGCATATTATTTGCAAGTATGCATTGGCTCAGTTAAAGATCGACCCATTTGAAGCCAAAGGAATTTTGATCTGATTGCCACAAAGTGATTAAACCACTTCACTTGAGTGGCTAACACTTTTCGCATTAATGGCATCCTTTCAGTAAAGTACTGCTGTTGTGCACTGTTTGTTCACCTGAAAGTTTAAGAGCACCTGCAGTGATAGGGTCCTTCTGTTTAAATTTAAAATAGTTGGTATGCTATTTTTGATAGAATCCAAAGACAGTGTCCCACCTTTCAAAGTAGAAATAAAGTTGTTCTCTTTAAAGCTGCTCAAGAAGCCAGAAAAAGGAGATGAAAAAGAATTGGACAAAAGAGACAAAGCAAAAAAATTGGACAAAGAGAATCTGAATGATGAAAGAGCTTGTGGGCAAAGTTGTTCCTTGCCCAAACGTCCCGACGGTGAACTTAAAGAAGAAAAGCCTAAGAGGTCAGTGAGTTAAGGACTCTTTGATACAGTTTTCAGCATTTTGCTAGATGGTATCTTTGCTGATATGTCCTAGACTTGTACCTGAGTTAAATAACCTATTTTATGGTTGGCGAGGCGGGCGGGGGATGGGGGGCAAGGAGGAAAGATTTCAAATAGTCTTGGGTCTTAATATGGGTGAATGACTTTTGTTTTTTGTTACTGCTTTTTTCAAAACATTGGTTTGTTTGTTTTTTACCTTGCTTCAAAAGTACAGCTTCACTGCAGTGACCAAATCAGAATCAGTGTTCTGTTCCTGCTTTTGTGATTAGAGGGTCTTTGGGGGTGCACTCTTCACGTATCTGTGTTTTTCATGCAGACCTGAAGATGAAATCAGCAGAGACTATAGGGAGAGAGACCGGGATTATGAGAGAGATCAAGAGCGCATCATGCGGGAAAGACTGAAGCGGCAGGAAGAAGAACGCCGTCGGCAGAAGGAACGCTATGAGAAAGAGAAGCCTTTTAAAAGAAAGGAAGAAGAAGTAAAAAAAGAGAAGGAATTACTTCGTGATAAAGGAAAAAAGCCTGAAAGTGCAGAGTCTGTAGGTGGCTCAGACAAAACTGAAAAGAAAGAGGAAGTGGTTAAGCGAGATCGGATAAGAAACAAGGTGCCGCTTTTCGTCAATCTTGCTTATTTTCATAAGGATTCTTTTTTTGTTTCCTGCAAGTATAGAGGAAGAAGCTAGCATCTCATAATTTATTACTGAAATTTTATAAAGGAGCCCTTGATCTACAACTTTTTCTTAGTCTTAGTTGGGTTTGTTTATTAAGTTATTATAGAAATGTCAAACAATCACAAAAGTAGAACAGAGAATAATATGATAACCCCCCAGGTACCTGTCAGTCAATATTAGAGACAAGGACCTTTTCTTAATAATATAGCCTAACAGGATTATAGTATAGGATTTTCACACCAAAAAGAAAACTAACAGTAATTCATTAACATCCTATCTAATCAGTGTTCAGATTTTTCCAGTTAACTCACTAATATCTTTTTTATGCTCTAAACGAAGTCCACACACTGTATTTACTTGGAAGGTTCACTTAACTCTTGATCCATCACCCTCCTTGTGTTTCCTGTCCTTCGTTTGTTGCAGAAACCAGTTTGTCCTTTAGAGCATCTCACTGTCTGGGTTGCCTGATTATGTCCCTGTGGTGACATTTGACACATTCCTTTATCTTCTGTGTTTCCTGGAAAACTGGTAGTTCTATCTAGTACAGCTCAGTTGAGCTGTATGCATGAGACCATGCAGCCCTCACCTAGAGGCCTGGATCTGTTTGGGCAAGACTACTTCAAAGGTGGTACTGTACACTTCCTCTTGCGTCATTTCAGAAAGCATCTAAAGCCTGAATGTTCTCCGTGTGACGTTCATCGATAGCAGTTCTGTTGTGCTGTGGAATCGGGTGGCCTTGTACGTAGGCTATACTTGCTGTGATACTTAGGGTTGGAAGGTGCCAATGTCTGCAATCCACTCTCAAATAGATGTGTAAGAAATATTTGTGTATGAAAAATGGACATGTCACAAAATGTTAACAATTGATGAATCTAAGGAAAGGTTATTGGGGATTCATTTTATATTTCTATAGATTAAAAAAATTGGAAGATAAAAATGTTGGAAAAAAAACTGATCACTAGGGTCACGTATTGTAAGCCTGATCCAGCTATTATGAAAAATGTTACTGGCTTTTTTCCTAATGTTTTGCTTATTAGATTCATTATTTCATCAGTGGTGGGGACTTAGCAGGGCCTGAAAAATGGTGACATAAGAAATTTACACTTTCTAATGCATGTCTCTTCTATGTTCTCTTGTAAAGCGGAAGTTTCCCTCATTAACTGCTCAGCCTGAAAATCAGTTTACATAGGAAAAGCAAGGTTAACTCTTGATTCTTTACCTTTATTTACCAGTATTCCGAGTAATGAGTTGGTGCCCCAGCAACTTCTAGAGTTTGCCAGTGAATTTTTTTTTTTCAGTCTTCAAGAACTTGTGAATTTGGAAATACTTGGTGCATTACAGTTTGTTTTTATTAGGGCCTTGTCAGTGTTTAAATTACCCTATCTTTGCACAAGGAGACCCCATCATCCATTTCTTCAAATACTGTGCAGGAGTTTGATATATTTTAACATTTCATTTTGTGAAAACAATGAGATATTTTGCTGGAATTATTTGATTGAGAATAATGCTGGAAGAAAGGGTTGTAAAGGGACATGTAATTTTTGTTGGAGTCTAGAAAAGCCCTATATACATTGAGATTTTTGTTACAAAATAAAAAAAAACATCATTTGAATTGAGGGGTACATTGCAACTTTATCTGAGGTTTATTTAGGAATCTAGGCTCTAAGGTGTCACCTAGACAGTCTCTCTGGGGTGTTTAGGTTGTCGTGCCCAAATTAAGAAGGAAGACAGTCTCTCTGGGGTGTTAGGTTGTCGTGCCCGAAATAAGAAACAAACATGTTTGTGGTAAATTTTTAACTTCAGGGAGAGCTGTTCACTTAAAGACTTTGCACTCTTTTGTTAACTGTTGTTTTCACACCAAAAATATTTCTTTTGTGGCGGTGCGTTTTAAAGCCAATTGACTGATGGGAAGGAGAGAGGCTGTAGTTACTAAGTAAAAAATAAAAATTCAGGCTGATTCAGTTCATCTGAAGATAGAAAAGTTAGGCAGAGGTATAAAAAGTTTACCTTAGCATATAAACTACTTAGGAAATGGCTGCCTTTCTTTGGAGATAGGGGAAAGGAAGCATGCAGTTAGCGGCAAATTATCTATTAACAGGTGTTAGGCATGATGCCCTTACATTTTTGATCTTGTATGAATTGTTTTGGGAATTTATCAGTACACAACTTATGATTCTGAAAATCCCCTGTAAATGCTTGGTAGCAATTGTAATGTTATATTTCATTTTACTTCAGGATCGCCCTGCAATGCAGCTTTACCAGCCAGGAGCTCGAAGCCGAAATCGACTCTGTCCCCCTGATGACGGCACCAAACCTGGAGATTCAGTGGTAGACAGAAAGCAGGAAAGTGGTATTAGCCATAGGAAAGAAGGAGGAGAAGAGTGATAAGTCCATATGGCCTTAGGTGTCCTGTCTAGGCAGCCAAAGAGCACATATTAAGCAATCCAGAAGTGCCTTCAGGGCAAAGGAATAGAGAGAAAGAAAGGGGGTCGCTGTGCTGGTGGGGGTACACTGCAGAGGAGTATGTTTTGCGTCAAAGCAGGAACCGGATTGCAGGTTCAGATTGGAAGTACATTTTCATTGTTTATGCAGTTCCTACAAATTAATTTTAAGCTGTTGGCAAAGATGATGGAGAGGACATGCATTACAATTTGTAGGCAGGAAACGTCAAGTGAGGACTTAATTAGGTATGATATGGGAAGGACATAGAGAGCTGGCTCTGAAATCAAAAGATTTTGTTAATCCTGGATTGAATTTTCTTAATTTGAGTGGAACAGAGTCACTTTGAAGTCTTGTTCATGTCTAGTAATAGTCATTGTTGGTGGTAACTGTTGACTTTGTGTAGTATAAATACAACAAGCATGTGATCGTAGTTCAAATAAAGTGAATATAACAAAATTTCGCTTATGCAAAAATTTAAATCACATCATGTCTCTATCCTAAAGTATTAGGATTAGTTTTAGTTTTTTGTTTGCTTATGTAAGCTTAGCATAAAGAATATTTTTAAACATCGTTTGCCTTTGGCAATTTTTATATTAATCAGAAAGATGTAACCTTTGTTTGGTTCTTGACAATCCAGTCTTTGTTTTACCTTAGGTCTCGTGATGTGAGTGCATAACCTCTCCAGGAAGGAAACTGCACCAGTATTTGTTCCTGTTAAAATACAACTACCTTGTTTTGTATTGTTGTCAATAAAGATCAGCACCACTGAAGTGAAACCTGAGTGTTTATTAACATTAAGTAGCTACTAATTTTAAGAAATTAAAACTTTTGAGTTTTTTGTTTTTAAGATTTATTTGCTTATGTATACAAGAACTGGGGTACAGGCCAGAGATACAGGGGGTGAGAAGATTGACCAGAGGCAGAGTGGGGAGCAGAACAGACAGACTGACTGAAATATACTGCTGAGGGGACCAGTAAGCATGGCAGGAGAGGTCTGCTGTGCCATGTGGGTCAGCTCCCTGGCCAGGGATCGAACTCATGCTGCAGTGGCTGCAGAGATCTTCATTGTGCTGCACTTTAACCCCTTGTGCCACCAGTGAGGGCCACAAATTAAACTTGATACTGAATTAATCATTTGGAAATTTTGAAAGCAGCTGAGTAATATTCATTTTTCCTTCATTAGCACTATGCCTTCTTTATTTTGCCCACCAGGAAGATCAGATCATTCACTACACTTGTTCTATAAGAACCAAATGTCCGGGCAGCTTCCTTGAGCTGCTGCTTCATTTTCATCCTGCCTGCTCCTCCTGTGGTGGTGTCACTGCTTTGTGTCTGTGTCCCTAAAGGGGTGGCTGTTAGTGTCCCCCATGCCACCCAGCAGTAAAGCAGATGAGAGATGTTGAGTGGTCATTGAATGAAGCAGTACTGACTTTAGTGCCCTGCAGAGACAGAAACCAGGGCATAGTGAGAAGTAGCTGTCAGGTAGAAGAGGGGGTTAGGGCTTTTCAAATGGGTCTTGGAGCTCAGAGAAGAGATTGGGTAGAGATAGATTTGAAGTTAATTTATAGGTGGCCATTGAAGCCATGAGCTAGGGTGTGGAGTAAAGTGAGAATAGAAGCTGACAGGGGACCACGCCTTGAAGAATTCTGTGGTAACTCTAGGGTGAAGAAATGCATGTACACAGAAATAGTAGCTAAGAGTGGGCAAAAAAAAAAAAAACTGGTATTACCTAGTCTAAGAGAAAAGAGTATGAGAGAGAGCCAGTGGCAGGGAGTGTTAGAAGCTGCTGGAAGCTGTGGAACCTAAACAGGGCCACATATTTAAACTGACTTCATACAAATCACTGATGACCGGGGATGATGGAGAGTGGAAGCCAGGCTAGGTTGGGAATGAGCACAGACAGAATTTTGGAGAAATCTGGTGGTGAAAAAAAGCTCAGTAAAGGATGTTGAAGGATTATGTCTAATATGAGAAATACTAAAGCATGTTTCGAAGCTAAAAAGGAGGCTCTGAGAAAAAGGATAAATAGCCAAGGGAAGATGAGCTAGCCAATAGGGGATGTTTCCTGAGAAGCAAGTGAAAGGAACCTGGCAGCAGTGGTTGGAGGAGTTGGCCATACAAAAAGCCATATTCCAGAACAATCAGTCGTAAGTTGACACCAATTGCCTCCTTACTCAGCCTGGGGCATGTTGCCATCCTCTTAAGGCTGTTTTCACAAAGTGAAAGTTGGCACCTCTTACTGTAGTTGGCTTGCCAGTCAACTGTGGGTAAACTATGCTACTGCCTCCCAGATGTCTTCCACTCTTCGTATTTGCTTAGCGAACATTTACTGATCACTGACTGGTCAGGCCCTGGAGATCAAAGGCTCAGAAAAACCCTTGTCCCCGAGGAGCCATGGGCCAGTGGTGGTAGGGGGTGAGTTGAAATAGCCAAAGCACAGTGCTATGTGGGAAAGACTGGCGGCTTGGCCCAATGTGGGGTGGCCCTGCTGGAGAAAACCCCTAAACCAGGTGAACTAATGAGACTACAGGAGGACCCACTTTCCTGCTAAGCACTTTTTTTTTTCAACTTGCAATCTTTTTTTTTTTTTTTTTTTTTTAAGATTTACTTATGTATATAGCACTTGGGTACAGGCCAGAGGTGTGAGCAGCGGGGATGAGAGGTTTCACCATAGAGTGGGGAGTAGAACAGGCAGATCTCTTAAACACACCAGTGAGCGGGGCAATGGGTGGGTCAGGAGAGGTCTGCTGCACCATGTGGGTCACCTCCCTGGCTGGGGATGGAACTCTGTGCTGCAGTGGCTGCTGATAGCCTCATAGTGCTGAGACTTAACCCCTTGCACCACTAGGGAGTCCCCAGTAAGATTTCTAAGGATGGCTAATACTTTTTAATATTTATGTATACAAGAACTGGGGTTCAAGCCAGAGTATGTGTGGGGGGAGGTTGAGAAGATTCACCAGAGAGAGTGGGAAGCAGAACAGGTGGATGACTAACACTGCTGAGCCAAACCATGTGGGTCAGCCCCCTGGCCAGGGAAAAAACTTGTGCTGCGGTGGCTGCTGATAGCTTCATAGTGCTGAGGCTTAACTCCTTGTGCCACCGGGGGAGGCCTCCCAAGATGGCCAATACTAAGGGTGCAACTCAACAGTTACTTTCCCAGGGTTAACCGAGTCTGAGCCTGTCTGCTACCTTGTCTTCCTTAAGACATTTTTTTTGTGTAAAAGCCCCTGAGACAGTAAATTCTGGATAGCCCCCATGAACATGAAGCATGGACCTACTATATAGCAACAGTAAGCCATAAATCTCCCTTCGCTTTTCTCCTATGGAATTTATGTAATAGTAACATAGAACATTAGATCTTAATTCATAATCAAGAGTGAAATCATCTCAGGACTGCCCGCTCAGGCAAGGAGGTTCAGCTCTTGATTTTCAAGGCACGGAAACCTCAGGCATGCCCACGCCACAGCTTCTTCACTGCCCTGGAGTGCCTCTTCCCACTGCCCTCCTTCACCCTTGAATTTTTTCTCCCTGTTTCCTTAGCATCACTTTTCTCCACAAAAGCAGTGAACCCCCTGGGGCTGCCAGCACCACACACATGCTCAGTGAATGGCCAGCAGCCCAGTGTCTGTGCTGCTCCATCCTGTCCTTATTTCCAAAGAAATCAAATCTGTGTCTGGAGAAAAATAAGCAAAAATGGAATAAACGCTTACTTTTTTTTTAAATCAGAGTGTGGTTTTAAAGACTATTTATGCACACAAGAACTGGGGCACAGGCCAGTGGAGGGGGTGGGAAGATTCACCAGAGACAGAGTAGGAGCAGAACAGACAGATGTACTGAAATACACTGCTAAGGGGAGGAACGGGAGGGTCAGGAGAGGTCTTCCATGCCATATGGGTCACCTCCCTGGCCTGGGATTGAACTCATGTTGCAGTGGCTGCGGACAATTTCATAGTGCTGTGATTTAACTCATTGCGCCACTGGGCATGGCCCAATATAGTTTCTTTAAAAAAATTTTATTTATTTATGCATACGAGATCTGGAGTGTAGGACAGAAATGGGGGCCTGTAGGGGGTTGAACTCATGTGGCAGTGGCTGGTGATAGCTTGAGAGGCTGTGTCTATAACCCCGGGCCACAAGGGAGTCCCCTACAATAAAGCTTCATTTCTAACTCACCTAAAATGAATGAATGAATGAATAAAGCAAAGTACACACAAAAGAAAACCAATTGTATTGTAATTTAGTAACCAAAATACTTTTAAAACAAATGTGGACTTAACACTACTTGTACTTCTGGCGTCTAACAATTTACTGCAATTTCAAAGCAATGAGTGTATAATCATTATTTCCAGACAACTACCATCATCTGTAATGCAATGTGAAACTATCTGATTTCTTTTGGTGACCAAGTCACAGGTACTGCTAATGCCACTGATGCTTGTTGCCCACATTTGTAAATAAAGAGCACACCGAGTTTCAGTCACAGTTTGAGGAAAATAAAGTGGTATGACTTTTTTTCCCCATCGAAGCTCATATTCCCTCTGCAATCTATACTGGACCCTTATGCACATCAGGATAAAACCCCTTAGCTTGATCTACTGTTGCAAACATGTGTGAGGTGTCTACAAAGATACATAGCAGGTTTTGTTTTTAGATGGGGAGAAGAAAAAGGTGAAAGGAAGTATATTAACATCCCAAACGTGTGCCTTTAATTCCTGTGCATTTTGCCAAAGGTGGGCTACGAAGTCAGTCTGCATTACCTAGAAGTCAAGGAAAGGGTCTTGTCCAGCACTCTCTCATCTGAAAGCTTGATCGGCAATCTCTGGCCCAGTCTAAAATCCCATGGCGTCCCCGGGCTCCCCGGGGCCTTCTAGGCTACACAAAAATCTCTTCCCATCGCACACCACCTGCTAGGTGTTAACCCATCCCGGGTGTTGAGACAAGGAAAGCCAACAGCCAGCCAACCAGCGCGGGTAACGCTTCCCCAAATCTAAGACCAAAGTCCCTTGCGCTCGGAAGTGACGTCTCCCCCGCCCTCGGAGCCAGGCCTCTAGTCCCACCCTTTCCGCTCCCTCAGCCGTCGGAAGGGCTTTTCCTTAGGCATTTTTCAGGGGTTATTTGCTTCGCCTACGAAGCAAGGCCCCACTGCCTCTCCGAGGAGATCCTAAGGAGCCCACTCGCGGAAGTGAAGCAAAGTGAATTCCATTTTGTGAAACTGAGCGCGGTTTCCCACGGCCCCACAGGGAGCAGCGGCCCGCCCTCCTAGCTGGAGGCGGCGTTCAGCGCATGCGCCGCCTCCCAAGCCCGCCCCCATCAGAGCCTTCTAAATACGTCCTTCCGCAGCCTTCCCCCCTCTCGCTCCTTCCCTCCGCCATCGTGTTCTGTGCAATCTTCCCTTCCCTGCCATGGTAAGTGTATCTGTTGTCATCGGCTCCGGGGTGACTTCCCAAGACTTGATGTCTTCGCGAGTTCGCCGGGGCTGCCAGCTGCGTGGAAGGGAGCGAACCTTTCTGGGCTTTTCTAGAAGCAGGTCGGGTTTAGCCACTTAAGTTAGGGCCATCCGCCTGGCGGGAATCGAGCACCGGGGGTGGGGGTGGAGGGAAAGGCGGGATTCGCCCGGCTGGAATTTCAGGGCTACGCTCTCTGATCCTGAGTAGGCAGCGATTCTGGCTTTTTTCGGTCTGCACCCGGAATGAACTGATCCTGGTGCAAAGAGAAAAGTCGGGGGGGGGGTGTCTCCCGCCCCTCCCCCCGCCATCGTGGCCAGACGCGTGGCGCATGGAGAAGGAAATACAGGCTGCCGGTTTTCGGCAGGGTTTTTAACTTGGCGACCAGGAGCATATGAATGTTGAGAACTTACAGGACATTTTAGCCCTTCAGGGACTGAGGGTCACCACGTGGAAGCCCCTGGGGTGAGGGCTGTGGTTTCAGCCTCGGCTACTGGCACTTTTTCATAGAATGCCATCTGCATACAGCTGCTACTGTGTGCTGGGAGAGAGGAATTTAGTGTAGGCTCTGCCTTATTTATATTATTTATATTTGGCCTCGCCGGCCAAATGTTGCAAAACAAAAATATGTCATGGGGAATTGAGAAAGTCATCTTTGAAGAAGTGACACTTAATAGAATTTATGCCCAAACCGTCAGTGGGATAGAGTAGATCTGTCAGGTCCCAAGCAAATTTTAATTACTCGGGCGTTGGCCCTTGGAAATAGGTGTCCCTGTTAAACTCATTGGCACTCAAGTGATGAGTGGTTCCAGTGAACGGAAACTGCTTTCTGCCCTAAAAACTAAGGTCCCCAACGAGCCCCAATATGGTTCTCTATTAGAGTGATGTCTGCAGGGAGGAGTGGAAGGTGTCCCAGCCCAGGAGGGGGAGAGCCTGGGTTTGAAACCAAGGTACTGCACATCAGTACTCTGATTTGGATGCTTTATTTGGCTTCCCTGACCACTGGAGTGGGGAGGAACAAAAGGCATGTGTTCAGGAGTGAGCGGAGTGGCTTTTTGTATATACATTAATGTTTAAGTTTCTGACTTGGAGTCCTGTGAGCCAGCTGGTGCTATTATCTCAATTGACTGCATTTCCTTCCCAGTCTTCTCACAAGACTTTCAGGATCAAGCGATTTCTAGCCAAGAAACAAAAACAGAACCGTCCCATTCCCCAGTGGATTCGGATGAAAACTGGTAATAAAATCAGGTAAAGACACACAGCCTAGGCTTGTTTTGGTTGAATTTAACTCCCCCCCCCCATAAGTATGTAATTGTGAAGGTTCTCTGTAATTCTGTTCTTTGTGAAGCAGTATTCTGAAGTTCTGGGTTTCTAGAGCGCCGCCAGCTGGGTTTAGGGGCAAGGCACTCCAATACTTATAAATTTCCTGTATGTCTAGAGTCTGCACCAGAGCAGAAGGTGAAAGGTCTCACTAAGTCCAGTGAGATTGCTCACCCCTCCCAATCCACTTTTGAAGTGATTCTAACGTTTGCTCTCTACTGCAGAAGTGGGTGAACTGGTTTTGGAAGAAAGACTACTAGAATTCCTACCAAGGATCTCCAGAGTTATCTGGGCCAACTCAGCCTTCTGCGTGCCTCTTCCCCCTTGGGATAGGTCTTGAAGGGACCAAAAGTGAGCATCAAAAGTCAGATTTGCCCAGGTTCTCACAACGGCAGCCCCACTGTGCTCGAACATTTAAAACTTCTTAAAGTATTTGATTGCCTGGCTCTCCCAAGTAATTAAGCTCGGAAGACAACAAAGGAGGGCAGGAAGGTGCAAGTAGTTATTTCAAAAATTGTTTTCAAAGCATTTTGAAGGCGGATTCTATGGCAAACCTAAGTGGGACTGTTTTGCCGGGGCTAAACTCAAGGGCCCGTTTCTTTGGCTTATGGCTGTGTATAAGGCATGTCTGCTGCTGTTACAGGTGCAGCCCAGTTTTAAGACCCACGTGCTGCATCATACCATGTTAAGAAAGGAGCACCGAGTCACTTGGCAAAGTGGTTCGTTCGGCAGTTCAACCCTTCTACAAATGTGGGGGCTTCTGTTGGGGGTGTTGGACATCTGCAGTGAAACTCGAATGCAGAATATGAGTATCCGTTAATCTATCCCCACCCATTATGGTGAAGCCTGCTTTTATCGGCTGTTAGGAGTGAAATTGTGTATAAATCCCTGTGTAAAGTCAGTAAAGGGTATTTGAAATGAACAGTTATCAGTAGTATTCTCTTGCTCTTCGTCTCCTAGAACTGGGGGCCTTTTGTGTTTAGATGCTCTTGGCCCAGAGAATTAGCACGTTCCGATAATTTTCCTATTGCCTGACTTGTCCTCCCAACTTCTAAGATGCATTGAAAGCAGGTTGCAATTACAGTGCTTCATTTTGTGGAAGTACTGACATTACCCTGCTGAAAGAAAATCTGTGTTGGTCTTACCTGATTTTGCCTTTATGAGGGTAAAATCGTGAGGTTGACATGGACAACTCTGAACTGGCCTTGGCTCTGCAAGTCACTTGTTATATGTGTGAACCCTCTGTAGATGGCTGTTTTGATGTAGTGTAGAAAGGAGGGGCTTACGTCTCTGGCGCTACCCCGGGTCTGTTAACAGGTATGTACACTGGGGAAGAAGGAGCGCGCTTCCCTGCTACTCCATCCCGACTAACCCCCAGGGTGTTTTCCTACTCTTGGAATCATTTTGAGAGGTAAAAATTTGATTTGACTAGCTTTTAAACACAACTAGCAAATCATTTTTACTCTCCAAAAAGAGTTCCACAAGTGTTGAAGGAAAAAACCCTTTGCCTCGCAAGGATTTTGTGGTACTTAAAGGAAGGTTTGGTGAGCGCGAGTGCAGCTGCATTGCCTTGACTGCCTTTGTAACTTGCATTTTCCTCCTATGTAGGTACAATTCCAAGCGGAGACACTGGAGAAGAACCAAGCTGGGTCTGTAAGGATTCGCACGGAGACGGCGCACATATTTATGCTGTTGCTACCAGCAGTATTGGCCATGAAAATGTCACTGTTGTGGACGTGTAATAAATATGTGAGCTGTTGAACTGCTTTCACATTCTGCTTTGTGAAATACTGACTTTGCCCTCCGGTCAGGTCTCATGTACTGTCTGCTAAAATTGTAGCAATGGAAGTACTCTCTGGAGACCAGGTATTTCTAGAGAATGGCTAGGGTGAGAAAGGGATTTACTTTGGCATTTTTTAAATTCTAACTGGATAGCTTGGTGTGGCTGGTGACTCTTCCCCCTCTGTCGTGGGATGTGTGTGGCACACTCGGGGTGCTGGTCCTCAGCAGGAGTCCCTGAACCAGGACTTCGGAAGTGGGTCTGCTGCCTGTGAGTGAAATGTCTTTTTAAATTCAGGAAGGAGTCCTTTTTTCCTTTCAAAAGAAATCAAGAGTTTTTCCTATGGGCATTTATCTTTTATCAGGGTAATGGTTTACAACACTAGGATTTACAGGTTCACATTTCAAAAGTATGTTAGGGGCCCTCCCTGGTAGTGCAACAAGCACAGCACTAAGAAGCTAGCCTCAGCCGCTTCACCAATTCGATCCCCACCCCGGAGGTGACCCACATGGTGCAGCCGACCTCTCCTGACCTGCCCACTGCTCCCCTCAGCTGTGTATTTCAGTCCATCTGCTTTTTTTTTTTTTTTTTAAGATTTATTAATTCATACAGTGCTGGGGTACAGGCCAGAGATGCGGAGGGTGAGAGGCTTCACCAGAGACAGAGTGGGGAACAGAACAGGCAGATCGACGAAGTACACTGGTGAGGGGGGCAGCGGGCGTGTCAGGAGAGGTCTGCCACGCCATGTGGTCACCTCCGGGGCAGGTGGGGGAATCGAACTCATGTGGAAGTGGCTTAAGCTTCTTAGTGCAGTGCTTTAACCCGCTGCGCCATCAGGGAGGGCCCCCATCTGCTTTTTTAAACTTTACGGGAGTTTTATTCACTCATTGAATCCAGTATTTAGAGGGGTCATGTGCTCAGTGCAGAGAGGAAACTGTATTGTTCGCCATTGTACACTCCCCAGCAGAATGCCCAGCTAAAGGGGGCCTGCTTGCATCACCTAGGAGGCCTTGGGGCCTAAATTCCAGGGGCAGTGCTGGGCCCATTGCCCCTTCCGATGAGAGCCCTCAACTGGTCACCTTGTTCCTCCCAGAGTTCTTGGAGAGGCTGAGTGGCAACAGTGTCCTGCAAGCAGCCCTGTCTGCTATTCCCCAAGGAACAGGTAGATTGGTAATATGGAGAGGGTAGCAGAGACTCTTCTTCTGAGTCATAGCTCTGGAGCACAAGGCTAGCCAAGTGCCAGGGGCCACAGCATTGAAGGCAAAGAGCCCCAGAAAGCAGGCTTACCAGGCTCACTGGAGTCGGAGTTTACAGGCCACCAAAGAACTCAAAACACTTGTCTGCTCAGGCCTTAGGACCCCACCAGGGTGCTTATGGCACTGATACCGGGGCACCCCACTCCCAGTGTAGCCCAGCAGTCAGTCCTCAAGTTTGGAGATAGCCCAGGAGGAATGAAGAGAAAGTAGGCCTGGCTTCCTCATAATGGGGATGACCAGCAGTGGGCACTGCCCACCCACATGTTCCCTGCTAACACTGGCATGATGCAGGACCTGGGCCCACCAGGATGATAGCATTGTTTATAGTCCACAAATAATAAAGTCATCTGGCATTTCTTTAAAAAAATTGAGTTATGCACACAGAACTGGGGCACAGGCCAAAGATGATGGGTGGTGAGGAGCTTCAGAGTGAGGAGCAGAACAGGCAGATTGACAAAGTACACTGCTGAGGGGAGCAGCAGGCGAGATAGGGGAAGTCGACTGTGCCATGTGGGTCCCCTCCCTGACTGGGGATGGGACTGGTGCTGAAGCAGCTGTGACTAGCTTCCCAGTGCTGCTCTTCAACCCTTTGTGCCACCCGGAGGCCTCTCACCTGGCATGTCTGACAACAAAACTGCTTTCGGTTCCATGTAGTTAGAAGTTCGTTTTTTATAGCCAAGCAGTATTCCATTAGATATGTACATCTATATTTACAAAGAAGTACATAAACCCCATCTTCCAAAATATTTTGACTTCAAATTTAGTGTCTTTATGTGGCAGGCACTGTTCCTAGGTGCTTGGGATCTTTTGAGACAGGCCTAGTAGGCAATACGTGTGCCAAAGTAAATGTCTGGAAAAGGTGGGAGGGAATGAAAGTGCCCTGTTTATCTGTGAAATTAGGGTGAAACTGCAGCCCAGGAAAAGGGGACTGAGCTTGGCTAACTTACAGCCCAGATGTAGGGGCCCCGGGCTGGCCTGAGCTGAAGGGCATGGGGCAGTGCTGTGTCACATGCAACAAGTAGTGGTAGTCATGGGGTGGTGTCCCTGCAAAGGGATCCCCACCTACTACCACACTAGTTGCCATCCTTAGCACCACTGCTTACCTCAGCTTTGAAGAGTGAGTTACAGAATACCAGTCAACCCAAGAACCGAGAAGGTGCCAACAGATTATTGGATATATTAACTAATTTGAGGAGCTCCTAGATTTCAAATATTGTCCCTAATTGCATCTGTGTTTCCCTAAGATTCAAAGACAGCTGCTACTGTGTGAATAGCAGTTGGTAAATGTTAACATGCCAAAAATGTCAAAAAGCAGAGGGACCTGATACAATTAATTGGCAGTTACAGGACATGGAGATAATGTTTGGAGAATTACAGATCCTTCAGCCTCGCTGTCCAGGGTAGGTGGTGACATCCCTAGGGAATCGTCAGACCAGAGTCACACTAGTGGTAGAATGGGCTTTCCCTCCAGGCCGCGACTAGGTAGGATTGGAGTGGAGAGGAGGGTGCAAAGGTGCCAGGCTTGCTTTCTGGTTCCCGTGCCCTTTCACCAGTTTGTCCAACTGCCAGGACTTGTTCTCTGTGAAGGACAGCATCCAGGGCATCCTGAAGGGAGGGCTGGAGATGGGACACGTTTCAGGTGATAGGTACCTGCCAGAAGTGGTGCCGAAGGATAACTGCCCAGCCCTTGATGGCCCACTGAGAAAAAGGAGCAGAGGACAGGCCCTATGGAGTGCAGCCAGATTCAAATTCTGCTTTCCCCCGTCTCTAGCTGCAGGCCTCTGTTTCCTCATCTTGAGTCTCACGGCCTCCCTCAGGCTGACATGGTGCCCTAGTGTGCTTTTGAATCAATGCCTGATTGCAGGAAGATGGGATGAAGAATGGGGGGAAAGGGGACCCTCCCTCCCTGGTGGTATAGCAGGTTAAAGCACAGCACTGCGAAGCTGGCCTTGGCAGCTTCACTGCAAGTTCGATCCCTGCCCCAGAGGTGACCGACATGGCACAGCAGACCTCTCCTGTCTCACCCGCTGCTCCCCTCAGCAATGTATTTCAGTCCATCTGCCTGTTCTGCTCCCCACTCTGTCTCTGGTGAATCCTCTCACCCTGCATACCCCTGGTCTACACCCCAGTTTTGTATGCATAAAAAAAAATTCCCACACCTTAAAATGGTAAAAGGAGCACGGGTAACCCTTTTCACTAAGCTGGCTCCAGCCACACTGTTTTGTTTGTCCCTCAAAACAATAAGCTCCGGCCCTCCCTGGTGGCGCAGCGGGTTAAAGCACTGCACTGAGAAGCTAAAGCCACTTCCTCATGAGTTCTATCCCCGCCTGCCCCCGGAGGAGACCACATGGCGTGGCAGACCTCTCCTGACCCGCCCGCTGCTCCCCTCAGCAGTGTACTTCGTTGATCTGCCTGTTCTGCTCCCCACTCTGTCTCTGGTGAAGTCTCTCACTGCCTCTGAGCCTCTGGCCTGTACCCCAGTTCTGTATGTACAAATAAATAAATCTTTAAAAAAAAAAAAAAAACAATAAGCTCCACCTTGCCTCAGAGCCTTCCCACATGCTGTTCCCTACACCTGGATGTTCTCCCTGTTCACTGGCCATCTCCTATGCATCCTTCAGGCCTCCACCAGTAGATCGATGGCCTCTGCTCCCTGCCGTCTCTCAATCCAGTGAGGCCTTTCTGCTTAGTACCTCTAAATCACCTCAGCATTTCCTGTCACAATGATCACCCGAAGGTCTATGCAGACCATGAACGCTACAGGGCTCTCACTGTAAATGGCTCTTGCTCAGTGCTGGTTGTTCTCATCTGGCACATCTAGCACTGACTGCATTTGACACAAAGAAGGCTTATGATAAAGAGGTGGAGTAACTGAATGAGTGAGGCTGACACGCAGGTGAGCAAGAGTCTGTGCCTTAACACGGGAATACAAGGAGTGAAGGAGCAGTGACTTGCCTGGGGAGTCAGGTAAGGCCTCGCCCAGGTTCATAAGGAGGGAAACGGTGTGTGTGTGTGTGTGTGCGCGCGCGTGTGTGCATGTACATGCAGTTGGTGTGGAGCCCTCGCAGCACTAGGGCACGTCACAAAAGTGCAGCATGCCATGAGCTGGGCATAGTGCCATCCTCGCTCACCTGCACGAGGCCTCCTCACTGCGTTTGAATTAAGATCACTGAGCACTCTACTTGGGGTTGCATGTCCCAAGCTGTTGATGGGATTGTGGCAGGAGCAGCAGGACAGGACTTGGCTCTCAGCTCTGACTCCAAACAAAACTGTTCTCTTGATCAATTTGAATTATTTCAATTCCAGCAGAGCTAATATCACAGATGTTTTGGAGGTGCTTCATGCATGTTAATAGCAGTGATGGGAAGACACACTCAGAAAAACCTAATGCCAGCAGCATAGGCCTGAGCATAGTTTTCTAGAAGAAGCAACAAAAAAGAGAAACTTTACATGTGAACACCCCCTACACACACAGACACACACAGGCACACACAATCACTCCATTATTGCCCACACTTGGAATTCTAGGCTATTCATGTTTTAAATATTTATTTTATTTATATTTATGCATACAAGAACTGGGGTGTAGACTAGGGTTATGCAGGGTGAGAGGATTCATTAGAGACAGAGTGGGGAGCAGAACAGGCAGATGGACTGAAATACACTGCTGAAGGGGGCAGTGGGTGAAACAGGAGGGATCTGCTGTGCCATGTGGGTTACACCCTTGGCTG